CAAAGATTAAAAAATCCTGAGAATGCATGCACCCCGATGTTCATTGCGGCACTATTTACAGTAGCCGGGACATGGGAAACAACCTAAATATCCATTGACAGAGGAATATATAAAGAAGATGTGGTACATATATACAATGGACTATTACTCAGCCATAAAAAGGAATGAATTAATGCCATTTTCAGCAACATGGATAGATCTAAAGATTGTCGTACGAAGTGAAGTAAGTAAGAAAGAGAAGGACAAATACCATATAATATTTATGTGGAATCTAGAAAAATGGTACACATGAACTTATTTGCAAAGCAGAAATAGAGCCACAGATGTAGAAAACAGACTTATAGTTATCAAGGGTGGAAGGGTGTTGGGATGAATTGGGAGATTGGGATTGACATATATACACTACTATATATAAAATAGATAACTAATGAGAACCTACCGTATAGCACAGGGAATTCTACTCAGTGCTCTGTGGTGACCTAGATGGAAAGGGAATCTAAAAGAGTGGATATATGTATATGTATAACTGATTCACTTAGCTGTACAGCAGAAACTAACACAACATTGTAAAGCAACTATACTCTAATAAAAATTAATTTTAAAAAATCCTGAAGTAATTCAGAGGAAAAAACACCATACTATATTGAGGAGCAAAGATAAGAATTATATGTGACTTCTTCTCACAAACTATGCAAGCAAGAAGAGAATGGAGGGAAATAAAAAAGTGTTGAGAGACAAAAAAACACCAATCTAGAATCCTGTACCTTGAGAAATTATCCTTCAAAAGTGAAGGAGAAATAAAGACTTTTTCAGAAAAACAAAAATTGAGGGGATTTGTTGCCAATAGACCTGCCTTGAAAGAAATAGTAAAAGAAGTTCTTTAGCGAGAAAAAAATGTTATAGGTGAGAAACTTAGGTCTATATAAAGAAAAGAGCACTGGAGACAAAATAAATAAAGGTAAAATAAGATTTTTTTATTTTTCATATTCTTGATCTGACGTTTAAGTTTATTCAACATAATAATGCAACAGTATTTATTTTTATATATGTTTATGTATACTTATATGTAAGTGAAATTAATGACAATAATGAAACAATGACAGTAATCAAACAATTATGCTATAAGTACGTTAAGGAAGGTAGGGAGGAATTAGGATTATTTTGTTATTAAAAAGGTCCTTGCAGATAAAGACAAATACTCTGTTTTCACTTGTATGTGGAATATAAAAAATAAATGAATATATTGGGTTGGCCAAAGAGTTCATTTGGGTTTTCCCATAACATCTTATGGGAAAACCCAAATGAACTCTTTGGCCAACCCAATATATAACAAAACAGGAACAGACTTACATATGTAGAGAACAAACTAGTGGTTACCAGTGGGAAGGGGAAATAGGTATAGGGGTATCTCATGTATGCAAGGCTGGTTCATATTCAAAACTCAATTAACCAGTTTTCTTATCAGTAAAAAAAGGACAATTGGTAGCTTCCTTGCATACTTGGCAAAGCGGAAAGCACTGTGCAAAGTAAAAGCACTAGAGGAATTGAAGGTATATTTTAAATAAGCAAACTATAACTTAAACCAGTGAAATATATATTATAGATACAACCCCCAAATATCAGTTTTCTCTGTTAAGAACATTCCTTAGGAATTTATCCTAAGAAAACAAAGGAATATGTAAAGATGTTCATTAGAGCATTACCAATGATGGTGAAATACTGGGAGTAACCTAAATGTCCAGCAAGAGGGGATTGGGTAATTAGATTATACTATGAGTTTATTAAGGAATGCTATACTTCTAAGAAAATTCATGATATCTTGTTTAAAAAAAGTGCAGATTACAAAATGTGGTTATATGGCCCCACTTTTGGGTTATGGAAATATATATGTGTATATGAAAAATTGTATGTAGACAAAACATAAACAGTAATGATTTCTGAGTGGGTAGAGTATAGATAATTTGGGGGGGTGATTTTTTGTGTTCTTACAGTTTTCTTTATGAAGAACATACAACTTTTTTATTAGAAAGAAAAAAAATTAAGCCATCACATTAACAGGCTAAAGAAGAAAATATCACACGATCATATCAGTAGATGCAGAAAAACATTTTACAAAATCCATTACCCATATATACATTTAAAAAATTCAGTAAATGAGTGATGGAGGGGAACTTTCTCAACTTGACAGAAAATATCTGTGAAAACCCCCCACAGCTAACATCATTCTTAATGGTGAGAAACTTGAAGCTTTCTCACTAAGAACAGAAACCAGGCTAGGATATCCCGTCTCACCACTATTTCTCAACATTGTACTGGAAGACTTAGCTAATGCAATAAGACACAAAAAGGAATTGAAAGGTATACAGATTAGGAAGGAAGAACTAAAACTGCCTTTGTCTGTGGGTGACATGATTGTCTATAGAAAATCTGAGTAAATTAAAAGAAAACAAAACTAGAACTAATAAGCTATTATAGTAAGGTTGCAGGATACAGGCTAATATACAAAAGTCTGTTGCTTTCCTGTATACAAGTAATGTAAAATGGAATTTAAAATTAAATACAAAATACCATTTATATTAGCACCCAACAAAAATGAAATACTTAGGTATAAATTGAACAAAATACTTAATAAGAGCTATATGAGGAGCACTACAAAGCTCTGATGAAGGATATCAAAGAAGAATTAAATAAATGGAGCAATATTCCATGTTAATGCATTGAAAGATTCAGTATTGTCAAGTTGGCAGTTCTTCCCAACTTCATCTAGAGATTCAATGCATTCCCAGTCAAAATCCCAGCAAGTTATTTTGTGGATATTGACAGACATATTGATTCAAAGTTTATATGAAAAAGGAAAAGACCCACAGTGGCCAACATGCTATTGAACGAACAGAACAAAGCTAGAGGACAGACACTACCCAACTTCAAGAGTTACTACAAAGGTACAATAATCAGGAGAGTTTAGTATTGACAAAACTAGACAAATAGATCAATGGAACAGAAAAAAGAGCCCAGAAACAGGCCTGCATAAGTATAGTCAACTCATCTTTGACAAAGGAGTAGAGGCAGTACAATTTGGAATAGCCTTTTTAAAGAATGGTACTGAATAACTGGACATCCACAAGCAAAAACAATGAATCTATACACAGACTTTATACCCTTCACAAAAATTAACTCAAAATGGATTGAAGACCGTAATGTAAAATGCAAAACTATAAAACTCATGGAAAATAACATAGGAAAACATCTCTAAAATGACCTTGGGTTTGGCAGTGACATTTTAGGTACAACAACAAAGGCAAGATCTATGAAAGAATAAGCTGGACCTAATTAATATTAAAAATTTATGCTCTGCAAAAGACAGTATTAAGATCCCAAATGACAAGCTGCTGACTGGGAGAAAATATTTGCAAAAGACATATACAGAGAATTCAAAATGCAACAATAAGAAAAACCAATTAAAACATGGGTCAGAGATCTGAACATACACCTTACTAAAGGAGATATACTGATGGCAGATAAGCACATGAAAAAATGCTCCACATCATATGTTATCAAGAAAATGCAAATTAAAACAACAATAAGATACCACTATACACCTATTAGCATGGCCAGAATCCAGAACACTGACAATGGTAAATGCTGATGAGGATGTGAACAACAGGAACTGATGTGAATGCAATTGCTAGTGAGATTGCATTGCTGATGGGATTGAAAGATAATATTGCTTCTTTGGAAGACAGTTGGGCATTTGGTGGTTTCTTCCAACACTAAACATACTCTTATAATATGATCCAGCAGATCACTCTCCTTGGTATTTACCCAAAAGAGTTGAAAACTCATATTCACACAAAAACCTGCATGTAAATTTTATGGCAGCTTTGTTCATAATTGCCAAAATTTGGAAGCAACCAAGATGTCCTTCCAAATCTTGTTTATCCAAGTAGGTGAATGGATAAACTGTGGTACATCCAGACAGTGGGATATTATTTAGCACTAAAAAGAAATGAGCTATCACATCATGAAAAGACATGGAAGAACCTTAAATGTACATTATTAAGTGAAAGAATCTAATCTCACAAGCCTACGTACTGTATCATTCCAACTATAACATTTTGGAAGATGTAAAACTATGGAGGCAATAAAAAAGATCAGTGGCTTCCAAGGGTTGTGGGGAGAGAGAGACAAATAGACCACAGAGGATTTTGAGGGCAGTGAATCTCCTCTGTATGAAGCTATAGTGGTGGATAGATGTCACTATACATTTGTTCAAACCTAGAGAATGTACACCATGAATGATCACTAATGTAAACAGTGGGCATTAGCTTATAATGATGTGTCATTGCAGGTTCCTGTGTAACGAATGTACCGCTGTGGTAGAGGATGTTGATAATGGAAGAGGCTGTGTGTGTGGCAGTGGTGAGGGGCTTATATGGGAAATCTCTGCTCAGTTCTGTGAACCTAAAATTGCTCTAAAAATCTATTAAAAATATAGGAGTTTCCAGCAGATAATATCTTCTCTAATGTATTTTTACATATGATTCCATTCCTAATCTTCCATGAATAGCCATTTTCTCCATAGAGCTTTTCTGTTTCATGTATAGAATGTTTTTTGATATGCCATCTATATATTTTCCCTATATTCCAATAATTTTTCCTTCTATATTTCTTTTCACTTCTGTACTTCTGCATTGGTGAAATTTTACTATGGACATCATTTTAACTTTGTCTATTTTTTTCCTGAGATTAATATTTAGTATATTTTATACTCTTTTATTGACTCAAGGGTACATTTTATATTTTACTTGTAATTAACTACCATTACAAAATTGGAACTTACAGATGTGATAAACCAAGATATTCCTGAAATGTTTTTAAACATAATTTTGTTTTCTGGCTGGAAATACAAAAATAGGTAGAAAATTTAAATGTAAAGTAAAAATTATCTGTGAGCTTATGTCTATTAGTATTTTAACAGTGTATTTGCTTTCCTCTCACAGTGTTGCAAGCACCAGTGACATTTTCCAGCACTGATTTTATATTTGAAATCCCATTACATACTATGGATCCTAATAAAAGTGTCACAAAAACTCAGGTGTGTATAGAGAATTGATGCAATTTACAATTTTTTTTGATTATGGTTTTCAGTTTATTAAGGTGATTATTCTGAAGGATGTGTTTTAAGAATACTTTCATTTTAGAGAACTTGCATATATATATGTATATATAGACCGTATTTCTCAGAAGTAATAAAGTATACAAATGTATAGAGCCACTTATTTTATATATGTATATTTTAATAGGACTATTCAAAATATATTAAATTGAATGGTTATCCCTCTTTCTTTATACAAATGGAAGCTGTGATTAAAATTAACGTGAAATATGTTCCATACAGGTGAGGAAATGGGAGAGGCAATAATAAAAATTGAAAAAGTCCAGATATATAATACAGTCACTTCTATGATAATCTACTCTTTATTTCTTATATTTCTGCCTCTTTTCTAATTATGAATCCATCTGGAAAGAAAAAAAAGAGAGACTTGCATAATAAAGAAGCTCAGGCATACATTGTAGAAATTTGTATTGGTAGTGCCCCTTTTTTTGTCTTTTATATCAGTTTTCCTGCATTCGTAAATACAGTCCCTTATATTGTAAAAGATACTTTGCTGATGCATAGTGTAATTAGAATAATGATCCTGAGCATGGGAGATTATCTGAGATTATGTAGGTGGTCCCAGTCTAATCACATGAAGAGTTACGAACAGAGAACGTTTCCTGACAGTGGTCAGAAGGATATGTGATGATAGAAGAGGGGTCAGAGAGATGTGATGTTGCTGGATTTGAAGATAGTGCAAGGAGGCCACCAGCTAAAGAATTTGTCTGAACTCTAGAAACTGAGACTGGCGAGGAAACAGATTCTTCTCTAGAACCTCCGGAAAGTATCACAGTTCTTTCCAACACCTTGGTTTTAGTCCAGTGATATCTGCATTGACCTTCTAATCTACAAGACTGTAATGAGATAAATTTGTTTTGTTTTAAACCACTAACTTTGTGGTAATTTGTTATGGCAGCAATAAAAATCCTAAAGTAAGCTATATCAGTATCACATTTAGAATAGGCTATAACTATTAGAGAAAATTGAAATAAGAATTGGTTAAAATTGGTTGCTTCTGGGAAGCAGGACTGTTGATGAGGAGGAGCTGAGTGGGCCAACTTTTTTTTTTTTTTTGGGGGGGGTGGTACGCGGGCTTCTCACTGTTGTGGCCTCTCCCGCTGCGGAGCACAGGCTCCGGACGCGCAGGCTCAGCAGCCATGGCTCACGGGCCCAGCCACTCCACGGCATGTGGGATCTTCCCAGACCGCACGAACCCGTGTCCCCTGCATCAGCAGGCGGACTCTCAACCACTGCGCCACCAGGGAAGCCCAGGCCAACTTTTTTGTAAGTGTATTTTAACTATTGGTATAAGCTATGCACATGTATCATTTTGATGAAATTATAAAGAAAAATAACCATACTACACATGCTAAACTAATTAAACGATGTTTCTCCATAGATGACTGGAACAGTTCAATTCTTAGGATATCTTAGGATATAGAAAGTGGATAGTATGTTAGAGATCTTATACCATTTCCTCAATTTCAGAATGAGAAATATGAGGCATTCATATAACTAGTATGATACCATGCTCACCTTCTGTATTAAAAGATGTTTTCTTTATTAGGTGCAAATGAACTTCGTTATAAAGTACACAAATATTAGAGCTAAATAGGTGTCTCAGTACTTAGAGACATCTGGGAGTAAAATTGCCTCATTTTTTTATCTTGAATATTGTAAATCAGTCATGCTTTAGAAAGAAAGTGTGTTATTTTGTTGTGGTGACAATTGCATGGATCATTCTACACACTTCCAATTTGGAAGAATAAAGTTTAAAAAAACCTGGTTGAAGCTTTTATTTTCATAGCGAGTTGCACTGGAAAGATGAGTTTGCACACAAGTCATGTACATAGCTCCCAGATTTATAGGAACATCATCACAAAGACAGTGCAGAGACTTTCTGCATACACTTTACACAACTTTCCCCAATGTTAACACCTTATACAACCAGAGAACAATTTTTTAACACTAAGAAGTTAACATTAGTAAAATACTATTAACTAAACAACAGACTATTCACATTTCACCAGGTATTTACTAAGGTCCTTTTACTGTACTAGGGTCCAATCCAGGATACCATATTGCATTTAGTCTCCTGTAATGTATGACAGGTTCTCAATCTTACTAATTTTTTATGACCATGTTAATTTAAAAAAATACTGGTCTGGCTTTTTTTTTTTTCTAGAATGTTCTTTAATTTCAGTTTGTCTTATATTTTCCACCTTGACTAGGCTCAGTTCTTATTTTCCATGGACTTTGGGGAAGAATGTCACAGAGGTGAAATGTGCTTTTTGTCATATCATGTGAAGGGAGGACATGGTATCAGTATACATGCCAGGTTTCTCCACTGTAAAGTTGGAGAAACTATTTTTCCCTTTCCACACTCTATGCTTTGGAAGTGAGTCATCTATTTCAGCCCAGACTCAAGGGGTAGGGGACAAGCTCCACCTTCTGGAGGGGATATTTACATATGTTATTTGGAATTTTTCTGTAAGAAAGGTTATTTCCTCTCTCCATTTATTTATTTATTTACTTAATATATCGCTGTGACCTCACATATATTTATTCCATACTTTTAGTTTTAATCCAATGTTACATTTTTTATTTTGTTGCTAAAACTGTTCTAGCTTTGGCCATAAGGACCTCTTTTAGATTGGCCCTTTGATATACTCCCTTCTTTATGATTTTAAAGCATTCTCTTACTTCCTTTGCTATGAAATGGTCCAGGGTCACTTTTTTTTTTTGGCATCTTTATTAGAGTATAATTGCTTTACAATGGTGTGTTAGTTTCTACTGTATCACAAAGTGAATCAGCTATACGTATACATATATCCCCATATCCCCTCCGTCTTGTGTCTCCCTCCCACCCTCCCTATCCCACCCCTCTAGGTTGTCACAAAGCACCGAGTTGATCTCCCTGTGCTATGCGGCTGCCTCCCATTAGCTATCTATTTTACATTTGATAGTGTATATACGTCCATGCCACTCTCCCACTTTGGCCCAGCTTACACTTCGCCCTCCCCATGTCCTCAAGTCCATTCTCTACGTCTGCATCTTTATTCCTGTCCTGCCCCTAGGTTCTAAAAAACTTTTTTTTTTCCCTTAGATTCCATATATATGTGTTAGCACACAGTATTTGTTTTTCTCTTTCTCACTTACTTCACTCTGTATGACAGACTCTGGGTCCATCCACCTCACTACAAATTACTCAATTTCATTTATTTTTATGGCTGAGTAATATTCCATTGTATATATGTGCCACATCTTCTTTATCCATTCATCTGTTAATGGACACTTAGATTTCTTCCATGTCCTGGCTATTGTAAATGGAGCTGCAGTGAACATTGTGGTACATGACTCTTTGAATTATGGTTTTCTCGCGCACCAGGAAACAAAGAGGGAAGAAAAAGTCTCTTGCCTCTTTGGCAGCTCCAGACTTTTTCCCGGACTCCCTCCCGGCTAGCCGTGGCGCACTAGCCCCCTTCAGGCAGTGTTCACGCAGCCAACCCCAGTCCTCTCCCTGGGATCTGACCTCCGAAGCCTGAGCCTCAGCTCCCAGTCCCCGCCCATCCCGGCGAGTGAGCAGACAAGCCTCTCGGGCTGGTGAGTGCTGGTCGGCACCAGTCCTCTGTGTGGGAATCTCTCTGCTTTGCTCTCTGCGCCTCTGTTGCTGCGCTCTCCTCCGTGGCTCTGAAGCATCCCCCTTCCGCCACCCGCAGTCTCCGCCCGCGAAGGGGCTTTCTAGTGTGTGGAAACTTTTCCTCCTTCACAGCTCCCTCCCACTGGTACAGGTCCCATCCCGATTGTTTTGTCTCTGTTTTTTCTTTTTTCTTTTGCCCTACCCAGGTACGTGGGGAGTTTCTTGCCTTTTGGGAAGTCTGAGGTCTTCTGCGCACGTTTAGTATGTGTTCTGTAGGAGTTGTTCCGCATGTAAATGTATTTTTGATGTATTTGTGGAGAGGATGGTGATCTCTCCGTCTTATTCCTCTGCCATCTTGAAGGTCTCCCTCCCAGGGTCACTTTTATTTTAGTTGTTCCAGCTCTTGAGTCAACATTTTCTCGAAGAAACCTCATTATCTTTTACAGGAGAATGGTATTTAGAAACCAAGATCTGTACACTAGGTGTGCTAGCTGCTACTGTGATGTCACGTGTTCTAGGCCCTTTTGGCCTAGAAAGGAAGTATTTGTATGTGTACTAATCCATGAGTACACATATATTGGTAATTATCTGTCTATCTACCTGTCTATCATCTTTTTATATGTCTTTTCCTGTTTGTTTATCTAAACATGAATTCAAACTAATAACTCTGACTGTAATCCAGCACCACAAGGTTCATTTCAGTCTTTCGCCCTTGTCATTTTTAACTCCGACAGTGAGAAATCTGACTCTCTTGTTTATAATATATTTACTTATTTTTTAACCCTGGTGGACTTAGTAAAGAAGTTGCAGAATTTTTAACCTGTACCCTTTTAGAATTCTTAACATATTTTCCAACTAGGGTACAGTGTTTACAAAGAGTATCTTTTTGAACACTGTACCCTTTTAGAATTCTTAACATATTTTCCAACTAGGGTACAGTGTTTACAAAGAGTATCTTTTTGTCTTTAGCTTTATAGTTTCCAGTCAAAACACAGTTTTCCAGAATTAGTTAGGACACTCCTTACCACCCACACTACCTTTGGTGAGGTTATTTCCTACATTTGTGATATAACTTGTCACAGTCTACAGTCCATGCTGGGATCCCCAGCATCTTGGTTGATTGTTTTTAATTTACATACCTTTAAGTTCACTCTTTGCAGTATACAGTTGTATGAGTTTTTTAAAATGTATAGAATAATTTATTTACTACTTCAGTGCCATACAGAACAGTTTCATTACACTAAAAATTCTCTGTATAACCCCTTAGCAATCACCTACCCTTCTTTCCACTGACACTTGGCAGCAATTGATTTTTTTTTCCACCCACAAAATTGTGCATTTCCAGAATGACAGGTAATTTAATTATACAGTATGTAGAAATTTGGGTCTGGCATCTTTCACTTAACAAAATATATTTAATCTTCACTTATGTTTTTGCATGAATTAATATTTTACTTATTTTGTCACTGAATTTTATCCCATTGTATGGATGTACCACAGTTTGTTTATACATTCATTTGTCGATGGAAATCTTGTTTGTTTCTACTTCCATTGGTTGGTGATTATGAACAAAGCTATTATAAACATTCACATACAGATTTTTGTGTGAACATAAATTCTCAATTTACTTAAGAAAATACCTAAGAGTAGGATTACTGGGTCACTTGGTAGACATATGTTTAACATTATAAGAAGCTGTCAAACTGTCTTCCAAAGTGACTGTACCAATTTGCATTCTCACCATCATGAATGAAGGTTCTTGTTACTCTGTGTCCTTGCTAACTAGCATAGCTCCTTTGAGTACTTTTCATAGTTGTTGACAGGCTGCGAACATATTTGCATACCCCTTTGTTTGCCTAACATCACTTTTAAAACATTTTATCTATGATTACCACATTTAATTGCTTGACTTTGTGCCTAGGACTATCAAGTTGCTACAGCAATACAAACTAAATTTTATATTGCATATTATAATCTTTATAAATCTCTTATTTTTTATGTGTGAACAGGATCTTGTTTTACATAATACTTCAAAAAAAGATGTAGAGTGGAATTTGGATATTAGTAATACTGGTAAACTTTTCGAAGATGGCATATTCAAATTTAGCATACTCAGTGGGACTCTGCGACCAATTGAAGAGTGTAATGTTTCTATAAATTTCTGTCCAGGTAAGTACTTTTTTCGGTATTTGTTGTTGTTTCTGTATCAGTTTATCCTTCACATATTTTATTTTATCAAGTATATAAAAGTTTAGATTATTTGTTATATGTTCTTAAAACAGTTTTAAGAAATTTCTTACTAAAATTTTGTGGTAGTTGTTATTATAAATGACACCCAATGATCCTTACCTCCTGGTATTCATGCTGTTATATAGTCCCCTCCCACATCAAGTAGAGCTAATATATGACCCATGGGATATTATGGATGTGATGGTGTGTGACTTCTAAGGCTAGATCAGAAAAGGCATTGCAACATATCTGACTTTTCCTCTTGGATTGCTTGCTTTGGGGGAAGCTGGCCAGGATGTCTATTTATCTATATTTCCACTCTTCTGTTTTTTTTTTTTTAATTACAAAAAGTTTTTTGAACCTTTTAATAATTGATATGACAAATTTTCTTTCACTAAACATATATTTCAAAACTTTTTGGCAATTCTTATACATTTATTCTAAATGAACTGTAGATTATTTTTTCCAGTTTCTAGAAAATGGCATATAATTGAGTTTTTTCCCTGCAAAGAATAACATGCTTTTACAGTAATTAAGGTGTCATTTTATATGCATCATTATATAAAGAACAAGAATATCTTTTCCCCACTAAATTATCTTGGTACCTTGTTGAAATTCAGTTGACCGTAAACAGAGTTGTATATTTCTCTTAACCTGGTCTTAGAGAATGGCCTGTGAAGTATTCCCTCCATTTCTGTTTTTGTGAAGATTGATATTAATTCTTCATGAAATGTTTGGTACATTTCACCAATGAAGTTGTTTGGGTTTTGGCTGTTCTAAGTGGGAAGTCTTTTGATTCCTTCTTCGATCCCTTTCTATAAGTCTATTCAGATTTTATATTTCTTCTTGGGTCAGTTTAAGTAATTTGTGTCTTTCTAGAAATTTGCACATTTCTTCTAGGTTATCTAATTTGTTTGTATACAGCTGTACATTGTGTTTCCTTATAATCTTTCTATTAAATTTCTGTAAAGTTAGTATTTATTTTACCTTTTTTATATTCATGACTTTGGTAATTTGAATCTTCTCTCTTTTTTTTTCCTTGGTCATTCTTGCTAACGGTTTTAAAAATTTGATAATGTTTTCAAAGACCAACTTTTGATTTCCTTAATTTTTTCCTATACTTTAATTTCTGTTCTAATATTTATTATTTTCTCTATTCTACTTTGTTTGGCTATAATTTTTTTTTTCCCCTTGTCTCTTATGGTGCAAGGTGTTAGGTATTGATTTAAAATATCTTTTAGATGGAGGCATTTATAGCTATAAATTTCACTCTGAGCACTGCTTTAGGTGCATCCCATAAATTTTGATATGTTTTGTTTTCCTTTTAATCTACAATTATATTTCAAAATTTACTTTGCCATTTCTTTTTTTTTGTTTTCTTCACTCAGACGTTTGCTGGTCAACAGTGTGTCCTCAATGGTATTATTCTGAGAACCCACAACTACTGAGCAAGGGGCTTGGGAGCAAGGGAGAAAACATCGTACAGTGTATTCAGTTCTGTTCTCTCCATCTGGAGCTAGCCTACAGGTTGATTATATTTTAATACTTTTTACATAATGTTAGAATGGCACACATTGTCATCATTTTGATGGGAAGATTCACTAATCTGGCAGCTATCGTGTTTACTCCTTGTATTTTTCCCTTTTAGTTCTATTCAGCTACAAAGATGAAGTGTTTAATACTAAATGTGGGGGAAACATAATCATTTTTGATCTATTTCTTCCTCCCACCCATTGCTTTTCTTCCAAAAATATTTTTGTATTTTCTTTTGCTTCTATTCTCATGACAATATATTGTATCTAAGCTCTTCCTGCTGTCTTACATTGTTTGTCCTTAAATCATCTGAGATTTGCTCCCAAGAGCAAATTTATTTATTTTATGGCATTTGCTTCCAATAGCAATTTGTTACATTTATCCATTCCATTGTTAAGCAGTTCTTATTAATAAGAGATTCTTTTTTTTGCGGTACGCGGGCCTCTCACTGTTGTGGCCTCTCCCATTGTGGAGCACAGGCTCTGGACGGACAAGCTCAGCGGCCATGGCTCATGGGCCGAGCCGCTTCACAGCATGTGGGATCTTCCCGGACCAGGGCACGAACCCGTGTCCCCTGTATTGGCAGGCGGACTCTCAACCACTGCACCACCAGGGAAGCCCAGTGAGAGATTCTTAAACTTAATGTTTTGAAGGACGTAGGGATCCTCTCACAATTCAGACTATCTTAAATGTAAAAGTTAATTTATTTGACTCATCTAATGCAAAAACCTAGGAATAGATTTCCTGTCTTTAGGCATGGCTGGAACCAGGTGCTCTAAAGATTACCTGGTTTCTTTCTTATTTTTCAAATCTGCTAAATCATTATCAGAGTCATGTGGTCATTTAAAATAGGCTTCCATTCTCTCATGTGTAGATCCGTTGAAAAAGAGATTGCTTCATTCTCACCAGTTTTAACAAAGGCATTGGGCCTGGTTACATTGGTCCAGTGGGTGATATGCCAAGCAATAGGTATCATTTGAATTGCTGGACCTCACTCAAATATCCACTACAAAAGCTTCATCTTTCAGATTGTTATGACTTTTCTCATTGAAGATATAGGCTTTCCAGCAGTTATCCAATAATTCTAGATAGGCTTTCTTTAAGTCCACAAGTAGATGGAAGCTGCATCAGCAAAGGCTTGATTATACTATAATATACAATACACATAGTATATTATATACTATAATATACTGTACTATAATATTTGAGGAATAACACGTGCACATTATAATATTTTGCTTTTGCCTTATGCTCTTATATTTTTGCATTTAATATGTCATAAATGTCTTTATAATATTAATGATAATTGTAAGCTATTTTTTAATTGGTAAAAATGGCCGACTACCTTGTTTCATCATGATGTATTCTATGGGAGTCTGAACAGTCTCTGGATTCAGACTTTTGAGAGTCAAATTTCAGAGTCAAACAAATCTGTTTGAGAGTCAAACAAATTTCTGTTTGTTAAGCTCCCTAAATACCTGTCATCAGAAAAATGGGCACAAAATTATTGGAATTAAATCACTAATTGAGATGGTGACTGAAAAGGATCAACGTGGTGTGTATAATTTTCTGGCTTAGATTTTATGCCATGCTTCCCAATGACCATTTGTCTACTTTGCGTACATGAATTTTTCATGGTTTCCACTTTATAACCAGTATAGATATCTAAGGTACAAATCTGAATCAGATCAAAAAGTTTATAATTCTAGAAAAATGTTCATGGTTGAGTAATGTATACTTATGCTGTTCTTTGTGATTATCTTTCTTTGCAGTGTATTCTGTTTTGATTTTTATTGGATTTTTTAACACCTTTATTGGAGTATAATTCCTTTACAATGGTGTGTTAGTTTCTGCTTTATAACAAACTGAATCAGTTATACATACACATATGTTCCCATATCTCTTCCCTCTTGCGTCTCCCTCCCTCCCACCCTCCCTATCCCACCCCTCTAGGTGGTCACAAAGAACTGAGCTGATCTCCCTGTGCTATGTGGCTGCTTCCCACTAGCTATCTATTTTACATTTGGTAGTGTATATATGTCCATGCCACTCTCTCACTTTGTCACAGCTTACCCTTCCCCCACCCCATATCCTCAAGTCCATTCTCTAGTAGGTCAGTGTCTTTATTCCCGTTTTGTCCCAGGTTCTTCATGAACTTTTTTTTTTCTTCTTAGATTCCATATATATGTGTTAGCATACGGTATTTGTTTTTCTCTTTCTGACTTACTTCACTCTGTATGACAGACTCTAGGTCCATCCACCTCTCTACAAATTACTCAATTTAGTTTATTTTTCTGGCTGAGTAATATTCCATTGTATATATGTGTCACATCTTCTTTATCCATTCATCTGTCGCTGGATACTTAGGTTGATTCCATGTCCTGGTTATTGTAAATAGAGCTGCAATGAACACTGTGGTACATGACTCAATTTGAATTATGGTTTTCTCAGGGTATATGCCCAGTAGTCGGATTGCTGGGTCATATGGTAGTTCTATTTGTAGTTTTTTAAGGAACCTCCATACTGTTCTCCATAGTGGCTGTATCAATTTACATTCCCACCAACAGTGCAAGAGGGTTCCCTTTTCTCCACACCCTCTCCAGCATTTATTGTTTCTAGATTTTTTGATGATGGCCATTCTGACTGGTGTGAGATGATATCTCATTGTAGTTTTGATTTGCATTTCTCTAATGATTAATGATGTTGAGCATTCTTTAATGTGTTTGTGGGCAATCTGTATATCTTCTTTGGAGAAATGTCTGTTTAGCTCTTCTGCCCATTTTTGGATTGGGTTGTTTGTTTTTTTGATATTGACCAGCATGAGCTGATTGTAAGTTTTGGAGATTAACCCTTTCTCAGTTGCTTCATTTGCAAATATGTTCTCCCATTCTGAGGGTTGTCTTTTGGTCTTGTTTATGTTTTCCTTTGCTGTGCAAAAGCTTTGAAGTTTCATTAGGTCCCATTTGTTTATTTTTGTTTTTATTTCCATTTCTCTAGGAAGTGGGTCAAAAAGGATCTTGATGTGATTTATGCCATAGACTGTTCTGCCTATGTTTTCCTCTAAGAGTTTGATAGTGTCTTGCCTTACATTTAGATCTTTAATCCATTTTGAGTTTATTTTTGTGTATGGTGTTAGGGAGTGTTCTAATTTCATTCTTTTACATTTGCTGTCCGGTTTTCCCAGCAATAGTTATTGAAGAGGCTGTCTTTTCTCCACTGTATATTCTTGCCTCCTTTATAAAAGATAAGGTGACCATATGTGCATGGGTTTATCTCTGGGCTTTCTATCCTGTTCCATTGATCTATGTTTATGTTTTTGTGCCAGTACCATACTGTCTTGATTACTGTAGCTTTGTAGTATACTCTGAAGTCCAGGAGCCTGATTCCTGAAGCTCCCTTTTTCGTTC